TCACGGGATCTCGTGGAGGTACCATATTGAAGGTTCCCCAGGTTGAAGCTACAATGCAAACCTGGCAGGCTCCTGGTTCCAACCATATCGATTATATATTCAAAAGCTCATTCGAAGGTAAGGTTGAGGTTGGATGGAATTATTCCCGCGTCAGTTTTATTCGTAGCATGTATGCTACACATACAAAGGCGCTCGCGCAAAGGCTAGGAAAGCCTCTACCGCCTTCAGCCCTGAAAATCACCGGTGTACCAAACGCAGAGGATCCACAAAGTAAGGAGGGAGAGCAACAAAAGATTACAGCAGAAGTCAACGTACCTCTGTCGAAATACGAATATACGGCGCTAGAACCTCCTATAATTGAGACACCTCTTCTTCAGAGTCTGGGCGAAGCAACGCCACCATTGGAATTCTTCGGGTTGCATCGAGATCGACTTCCGAATCTTACACATCAAATAGTGATTGTGGCATTGTTGGAATTGGCTGGAGAGGTTGAGGATGCCTATGCAAAGATTTTGGGGTCCTGATTGGTTTCATTGTCTGTAAAATTCTGGCTTCATGTATCTCCTTCACATATGATATTGTACAAACGATAGCGATGGCGTTGGGTTCAATGCAGAACTTTGGTTGGTTCTCGAGGTGGTCGATAGATGATGAATCATCAATAGTAACCTACCTACCTAGTATAAATACCTAGCTACATATTCACTTTTTGCCCCTGTTATTACCGTACCTTTAACACGTCCACGTTGTCTTGTAGTGGAACATTGAAACTCCTCCATCTCACTACCCGGATTTGTCATGCCGGTGAGTCAGAAGGAGGGATGAATGAAATGCTTTTGAACGTACTCCTTTGTATGGTACCCCACCAAGTCAGCAGGAGCAAGCTGCAGATGGCTCGGACAAATGCTTGCTTTCCCAACTCAGTTGAAAATTATTTATAGATACCTATGTAGATTCGAAAACATTCCCGCCTCTTACAATAAAATCAATCAAAAAAGAGATATAGTAAGTAAATAGGTACCTATATAGAACCTTAGTAATTCCAAAAAATCCATTCACCTCAGAAATGGGTCGTCCCTGTTTGATGCATCCTAGGTAACTTGCTTAATGATTACTTAATACGGTAGCCCTAACCCTTTTCAGGCATGAATTGTTTAGTTGCCTTACACAGTGAAAATTTACATTTCCAATTCCCGAGTTACAACCAACCCCACCTTTCATGCCCCCACCCGCGAGATCTTTTCCTGTCAAATTCTTGCCCACCTTTTGCAAATTTCCTCTATTCCCCTCTTCCTCTCATTTTACATCGAAAGTATCACCAAAACTTTCTTTGTATTATCTACCAATATTTAAGATACTTCAAGTGGTCAAATAAACCACTCTAGTATCTAATCGTTCGAGCGTGTGTCGAACGACAAATCAATACATCTTCTTTAATCAGCTTATTGAAGCACCACCGCCAACATGGTTAAGTAAGTATCTATCTATTCCTTCTTTATCATTCATCCACAGACTGCAAAGAGGGACTGTTTGACCGCAAATCATCAGAGTACCTTCATATCTTTTGCTTCTGATGGTTGGAAAATGCTCAAATGATAACTCGTGATGGACGGGTCGGGATATAAGCTCATCTTGTGGATAATGGATTATTTACTAACAACTGCTCTTTCAATATAGCTTCACCATTGAGGAGGTCCGCGCCTTGATGGACAAGGCTACGAACGTTCGTAACATGTCCGTCATTGCCCACGTCGACCACGGAAAATCCACCCTGACCGATTCCTTGCTCTCCAAGGCCGGTATTATCTCCGCCGCAAAGGCCGGTGATGCCAGAGCTACCGACACTCGTGCAGATGAACAAGAGCGTGGTATCACTATCAAGTCTACTGCCATCTCTCTATATGGTAACCTCCCAGACGATGATGACTTGAAGGACATTGTTGGCCAAAAGACCGACGGAAGAGATTTCTTGATCAACTTGATCGATTCACCCGGTCACGTCGATTTCTCATCTGAAGTTACTGCTGCTCTCCGTGTCACTGATGGTGCTCTCGTTGTCGTCGACACTATCGAAGGTGTGTGTGTGCAAACCGAGACCGTCCTTCGTCAGGCTCTTGGTGAGCGTATCAAGCCTGTTGTCATCATCAACAAGGTCGATCGTGCTCTTCTCGAATTGCAAGTCTCCAAAGAAGATCTTTACCAATCTTTCTCGAGAACTATCGAGTCCGTTAACGTCGTTATCTCTACCTACTTCGACAAATCTTTGGGAGACGTCCAAGTTTACCCGGGTAAGGGAACGGTTGCCTTCGGTTCCGGTCTCCACGGCTGGGCTTTCACCATCCGACAATTCGCTCAAAGATACGCCAAGAAGTTCGGTGTTGACAGAAACAAGATGATGGAGCGTCTCTGGGGCGACAACTACTTCAACCCATACACCAAGAAGTGGACTACCAAGTCCTCACACGAGGGTAAGGAGTTGGAACGTGCTTTCAACCAGTTCATCCTCGACCCCATCTTCCGTATTTTCGCTGCTGTCATGAACTTCAAGAAGGATGAGATCCCAACTCTCCTCGAGAAGCTCAACATCAAGCTTTCTGCCGATGACAAGGATAAGGAGGGCAAGCAACTTCTCAAGGTTGTCATGCGCACTTTCTTGCCAGCTGCTGATGCTCTTTTGGAGATGTTGATTCTCCATCTCCCATCCCCAGTTACAGCGCAAAAGTACCGTGCCGAGACCTTGTACGAGGGTCCTCCAGATGATGAGGCCTGCATTGGTATCCGTGACTGTGATCCCAAGGCTCCTCTCATGTTGTACGTCTCCAAGATGGTGCCAACATCTGATAAGGGTCGTTTCTACGCTTTCGGTCGTGTCTTCGCTGGTACCGTCCGTTCCGGCTTAAAGGTCCGCATCCAGGGTCCTAACTACACCCCTGGAAAGAAGGATGACTTGTTCATCAAGGCTATCCAACGTGTCGTTCTCATGATGGGTGGTAAGGTCGATCCTATCGATGATGTCCCAGCCGGTAACATTCTCGGATTGGTCGGTATCGATCAATTCTTGTTGAAGTCTGGTACCCTCACCACTAGTGATACCGCCCATAACTTGAAGGTCATGAAGTTCTCCGTCTCCCCTGTCGTCCAACGTTCAGTCGAGGTCAAGAATGCTCAAGATCTCCCCAAGCTTGTCGAAGGTCTCAAGCGTCTCTCCAAGTCAGATCCTTGTGTGTTGACTTTCATCTCCGAATCAGGTGAGCACGTCGTTGCCGGTGCCGGTGAGTTGCATTTGGAAATTTGCTTGAAGGATCTTGAGGAGGATCACGCTGGTGTACCTCTCCGTATCTCCGACCCTGTTGTTCCATACCGTGAGACCGTTACTGCCAAGTCTAGCATGACTGCTCTCTCCAAATCCCCCAACAAGCACAACCGTCTTTACATGATTGCCGAGCCTCTTGACGAGGAGGTTTCCAAGGATATCGAGGCTGGAAAGATCGGTCCCCGTGACGATTTCAAGGCTCGTGCCCGTATCTTGGCCGATGAGCACGGATGGGACGTTACTGATGCCCGTAAGATTTGGTGTTTCGGTCCAGATACCAATGGCGCCAACTTATTGGTTGATCAAACCAAGGCTGTTCAATACTTGAACGAAATCAAGGATTCCGTCGTCTCTGGTTTCCAATGGGCTTCAAGAGAAGGTCCAATTGCTGAAGAGCCAATGAGATCTTGCAGATTCAACATTATGGATGTTACCCTCCACGCCGATGCTATCCATCGTGGTTCCGGTCAAGTTATGCCAACTACCCGTCGTGTCTTGTACGCCTCAACTCTCTTGGCTGAGCCAGGTCTTCTCGAGCCAGTCTTCTTGGTCGAGATTCAAGTACCAGAATCTGCCATGGGTGGTGTTTACGGTGTCCTTACCAGAAGAAGAGGTCACGTCTTCGCCGAGGAGCAACGTCCAGGAACTCCTCTTTTCACCATTAAGGCATACTTGCCAGTCGGTGAATCTTTCGGTTTCAACGCTGATTTGCGTTCGCACACCTCTGGTCAAGCTTTCCCACAATCCATCTTCGATCATTGGCAAATTCTCCCAGGTGGATCGCCAATTGACGCCACCTCAAAGACCGGACAAATCGTCCAAGAACTCCGTAAACGCAAGGGTATCAAGGTTGAGGTTCCAGGTTACGAGAACGTAAGTTTCAAGTTATTATTTTTATTATTTGAAGAACACTTTGACTAATTATTCAAACAGTACTATGACAAGCTATAAAGAACGAATTTCCAAAATAAAAGATACCGTCCTTTCCATATTTCAATGCATATTCCACATCAAGATCATCTCCAGCTCCGGCGCTCTCACGAATCTGAGCGAATAGTCTTTGGCCATTTCGACTTGTTAGCCGATTTGGTATCAAAAGCAAGCCGCGCGCCATGTGATAGACAGATGAGCTTTTCTACATTTCTTGAGCTGCTGTTTTCATTTTGAGTCTTCATGTATTTAGCTGCATGGGGAAATGAAGGATTTCAAACCATGAATTATGAACTTTAGTAACAGTATTACGTGAAATTATGAGCATGTGCGTTTGAAGAAACAATATGTGAATGTGAATTACTCCATAATATGCAGGGCCATAAAGTAAAATATGCATCACCTACAGCATATAGAAATCGCCAGCTAGTGTCCCTGGTAACAAGGTATACAGCACTCACGTCTCTGAAGTTTTGTCCATTGCCGATGTGAGCAATCTTGCCTTTACTGATGGTATTTTGTGAGGTGCAGAGGTGCGAGGAGGTGGGAACAACAACTTCCTACAGGATGATAAAAATAAAAAATAAAAGTAACAGGAAGATTCTCTTCTCTTATCACTGAATGTATTTTATTTTCTTACTTGTTTCTCAAAACCTACCCCACTCAACACTTCCTCCCCCTACAATTCCTTCCCCCCCCAAACCAAAAGGAAATATGTAGAGGTATACCAGAAGAAGAAAAAGGCAAAAGACAAAGTCGCCTCGGGAGGGGCTTGAACCCTCAACCTTGGGCTTCCCATTAAGGAGATGAAATCTTTTCTTAAAAGGCCCACGCGCTAACCAATTGTGCCACCGAGGCGTATCATGTGATGAGATGTTTGTCCCATTTGATGGTGCGGGGTCATTTGTTTGGATAGATAAATTTAAAAATTATTGAATATAGTAAATAGAATAGGATTAAGAGGGGCTTGTTGGTTTGTTAGGTTGGGTTTAGGGTTCCACTCATGTCATCGACATCCCACACTTGATTTTCCAATCGTTCTGACATGGCTTGGTCTGAAGAGTGAGTGTGAGCCTGTGAGGTGAGCTTGGCGGGAATATTGGATTATTCACACATGTATGTTTTATGGTAGAGATATCAAGGTAAACGACTTTTCCATTTCATCCTAATCGAGAGAACCAGCCAGCTTTCTTCCCAATCTGGAGTTTTACTATTTGACTTCGATGAATAAATTCATCGCTAAACTCCTGTCTGCAGACATGCATGATCTTTTGTCCATAGTACGAATAAACTCCTAATATTATGGCATCCTGATAAAAAAGTACAACCCAGAGCTTTGTTTAGAACGTTAGATACTTCGTGACGTCATGTAGCATCATGTATGAGACTCTCAAGTGAGATTTCTTCTCAAGTCATCAATGAGTCTACCGCCAACTTGACTCCCGATAAATAGTACCCATCATTCTCTAAGGCCAGCTAATCGTTTCTCTGCAGATACCATCAATGAAACTCCCAGCCTATTAAATCCTACTTGGTTTCTATTCCGGACAAGGTTTTCATTTTCCCCTTACCATCCCCCTTATTATCATTCACAATCCTGTGAGTTCTACTTCTACTTCTCGTCCTCTGTCTCCGTCGTGGAACATCTGCTCCTGTCGAGTGACCTTTGCTTCGAGATCGTGAGGGTGATTGACTTCTTCGAGTGTTTGAACGAGGCGAGTGGATTGGAAAGGAAGATGATTGAGAGGGAGAGGGAGGAGTTGATGTAGCTGTAGACTGAGTCCTTTGGTATTTTGAATGAGGAGCTGTGGCTGCAAGTGATGTTGTGGTTGTGGTTGTCATTTTAGGGCTGAGAGGTGAGGATACTGGCAATGGTGAGGAAGTGAGTGGATGGAAACTCTGAGGGGATCGATGACGGACTCGGCCACGGAAATTTGTGGATGAGCTGGTTGTTACGGGTGGTAGAGAAGCAGCGGAGGATCGACGACGTTTTCGGCCACGTTGGGGGGAGGGATCGTTGGAAGGTGGATGGGTTGTGATGGGAGAAGTAGCAGATGTCATTTTCCAAGGTGGTATAGAGAACTGGTATGTATTTTGGAGTTTATTTCTTGTCTCACTGAAGTTCTGATGAGACTCCAGCTTGTGAATTTCAAGTTTTGAGATCGAAGTCTGAAGTCCTTTGTGTCTTGATAAACAACCAGCTATGATCTTATATTAGTACGTTTTCTCATACAGGCTCACAGCAAGATTTTACACAAAATTAATACCCCCATGGGTGTTCAGATTGTTGAGGTTGGATGAGAAGTCGACGGTGAATGGTGCCAGCGAATATCAGAGTATTAGTGACGGGAGTCAATGTTGATGCTTTTGTGGCACGGTGCCAAGAAAACAGATATCAGAGTACATTTATAGGATCAGATGAGTAGAGTAGAGTATTGAAGTAGTGGGACGTTGAGAGTCGAGACTGGAGGAAGGGGTTGTATGCAAGGAATCAAATTTGGATATTTTGAATTGAACAAAACGAATACCTTCTTCGCAGGCAATTGGTAAGTTTGTCGAAATTCTTGTTTCTTTTCTGTTTTGGAGCGAATACCTTGAGAGCTTGAGAGATAGAGATATATGAGTGTTGAACCTTCCATCTTCCTTCCTTCTCCTCGAATAGATAGGTGCGGGGAAATTGATGATCAAGGGCGGGTACCGGTGTAGGTATATTATTGACGAATCAAAGAACTTCCTATTTTTGTTTTTGTTTGTAATTTGGGATGATGTAGGTATGTATTCCGAACGAATATTATATATATATACATCCACGATAACATAGATAAGTACTATCGCTACTCTTTTTATATGCAAAGTTACAAACTTTGTTGTTTGTGTTGTGCAATTGACCGTAAGTGGTCATCGCATCAAATGTTGTGTGATGTGAGGTGAGGTGAAAAGCACAGCGTCGGGAAAAATCTATTTGGCGAGCGAGACTCGTTTGCTTTGCGGGCAGTGAGTGGACTTCATCAAAAGAAAAGTACAAAAATACCTCACAATCATTAGAAGGAAAACTATGTTGCGCAAGCTCCCTGTTACAGACCATCGAATTCTAAATTCCCTGATTTCCTCACCATCATCGACAATGTTTTCACGACCTGCTGTTAAAGCTTCGAGGCTCTATTGCCGTTGCTATGCAAGCTCTGCCAGCACCCCTCCGCCTATGCTCTTGAAGATCAGGTCAGTATTCACAATATATCGTCAATTGTTCATTTCTCTTGTATATATACTGATATTGGCTATTTATCTAAAGGAATGACATGAAGGCTGCCATGAAAAATAGAGATACTAATCGACTTTCCGTCCTTCGATCGCTCCTCAGTCAAACACTCAATGCCTCCAAGACATCCTCGCCTATTAATACCGATATGCAAATGTTAGCACTCCTCCGCAAATGTGCAAATGCAAGCCGAGCTGCAAGTGAAGAATTCAAAGCAGCAGGTAGAGAAGATCTGGTTGAGAAGGAACAACAACAATTGAAAGTCTTAGAAGAATATGCTGCTGGTGTTGAAACAGTTGGCGAAGACGAGATCAGAAATACAGTTAAGGAACTCGTTAATGATATGAAGGCCGAGGGTGCAAAGATGCAAATGGGAGATGTACTGAAAAGAGTATTTGCTCCTGAAGTACTTGGGGAGAAGAACGTAGAAAAGGGAGAGGTCGCAAAAATAGTGAAGGGGGTTATGGCTGAATCATAAGAATTCATCAATTATATAAAATGATAATTAGTACTTCCGACTGTTGTTCGTATAAAGTACCCAAACTCCTCTTGCAATGATGGAAATAAATCATAAGAACCAATTCAACTCAATCGTCGTTATAATACCTACTAGGTACATGTAGGTACAGCTATTAGTTATATATATCTATATCCTTATATGATCGCAATCCAATATCCAATATCCAATTGACTTTCTTTGATACCAAGCCTCAGATTTCCATCAAAACTTGGGTAATGATAAACTTATCATCTATCGGTATCTCCTACGTATCGATCGTGTTTCTTTATGATTTGACACTTTTTGGAAATATCCTTCAGCCTTGCCCGTAAGCCCTTCTGATTGGTAGCCTAGCCCAAGCAAGTTTAATAATACAGTACCTAAGTGACGAGACCCGAGCTACCTGGCATGTTGTGAATCTAGAGCTTGTAACATACGGTAGCTTCAGGAAATGCCTCATAACCATCAATATAATTCTACTCCATGGCGATTTCCATAACTATTCAATCACATACATAATATGCCGAGATCTCGACCAGCTACCACGGGTTATGCCCAGATTGCCCAAGCAGAGGAATTCAGCGATGATGAAGATGAGGACCCCCTCGCTGCTAGTCATGCCTCCTTGCAACCACCATCCGCTCCGCGATATGCCTCTATTTCACAGCCTCGACCACATGGTGGAATGTATACAGATGGTTATAGTTCACCTACAAACAATCGAAAACCTGGACATAAGAGAAGAAGGGGTCGTGGGGAAAGCAATGCCTCTGGCGTCGATATCAAAGCTATAAATGCTAGATTGGAACGATGGGCCGACGAGATAGCGTCCAAATTCAAAATCAATAAAGTGAAGGGGAAATCATTTCAAGAGGAAAAATTGGAAATCCAGCATTCAGTATTCCAAGCACCGGATGGAATACGACCTGTCACTGCTGATACTTTGGCATCGGAACCAGATCATGGACGAATGACGAAGCTGGAGTTCGATGATGTCGTTGAAAGCGTTCGAGTTGCGATTGAGCAGGGAATGCATCCTAAAATGATATCTCAAGGAAGTTCTGGGAGCTATTTTGCACGAAATAGTGAAGGCAAAGTAGTTGGTGTGTTCAAACCGAAGGATGAGGAACCTTACGCCGCAGGAAACCCAAAATGGAATAAATGGATACATCGCAATTTATTTCCATGTTTCTTTGGAAGAGCATGTCTGATTCCCAACTTAAGTTATGTCTCTGAAGCTGCAGCATACACGCTCGATTGTAGATTACGAACCAACCTTGTTCCATATACCGGCATAGTCCACTTGTCCTCGAAATCTTTCCATTATGACTTCTGGGATCGCAGAAAGTTTTACAGGAGTAAAAAGCCTCTTCCACCTAAGGTTGGCAGTTTCCAAGTTTTTCTTAAAGGTTTCAAGGATGCGAATATCTTCCTTCGTGAAAACCCTTGGCCAGATCATGCAAATGGAACGTTTAGATTGAGTGATCCTCATAGGAATAAAAGAGGATGGAAAGAGACTTGCCGCCCTAGCTCATCAAAGTCGGACGAGGGTAATGAAGGGGCGGGAGCTAGCAGCCCTACCGGATCTGGAGATGATAGCCAAAATCGACGTTTTGTTTGGACAGATGCATTACAACAGTCATTCCGTGAAGAACTGGAGAAATTGGTTATATTGGATTATATAATGCGAAATACGGACAGAGGTCTTGATAATTGGATGATCAAAATTGATTGGGAGAATCAGGGCGTTTCCATAGTTTCAGACCCTCCACAGATGAGGAACAATACAGACTCCGAACAGCCACCACGCGTTGTTTCTACTTCAGACAGCATCAGTATGTCACATCTACCGACATACCCTTACCGTACTCAAGAGCCTATGGAAGCTACAAGTAGATCGGCCACACCATCTAGAATGGCAGCACCAACCATATCCATTGGTGCGATTGATAATAGTTTATCGTGGCCTTGGAAGCATCCTGATGCCTGGCGAAGTTTTCCATTTGGATGGTTGTTCTTACCTGTATCACTGATCGGGCAACCGTTTTCTCAAAAGGCTCGGGAACACTTTCTTCCCCTGCTGACTTCAAAGCAATGGTG